GTAGTAGTAGTAGTCGTAGTCGCAGTCGTAGTAGAAGTAGTAGAAGTAGTTGTAGTAGAAGTAGTAGTAGTAGTAGTAGTAGTAGTAGTAGTAGTAGTAGTACTAGGAGTAGTAGTAGTAGTAGTAGTAGTAGTAGTAGTAGTAGTAGTAGTAGTCGTAGTCGTAGTTGTAGTCGTAGTCGCAGCGGTAGTAGTAGTTGTAGTAGTAGTCGTAGTCGTAGTCGTAGTCGTAGGCGTAGTCGCAGTGGTAGTGGTAGTGGTAGGAGTAGTCGCAGTAGTAGTGGTAGTAGTAGTAGTAGTAGTAGTAGTAGTAGTAGTAGTAGTAGTAGTAGTAGTAGTCGTAGTCGTAGTAGCAGCAGTAGTAGTAGTAGTAGTACGTAGTAAGTAGTAAGTTGTAAGTAGTAGTAGTAGTAGCAGTAGTAGTAGTAGTAGTAGTAGTAGTCGTAGTCGTAGTCGTAGTAGTAGTAGTAGTAGTACGTAGTACGTAGTAGTAGTAGTAGTAGTAGTAGTAGTAGTAGTAGTAGTACGTAGTAGTACGTAGTAGTACGTAGTAGTACGTAGTAGTACGTAGTAGTACGTAGTAAGTAGTAGGCAGTACGTAGTAAGTTGTAAGTAGTAGTAGTAGTAGTAGTAGTAGCAGTAGTAGTAGTAGTAGTCGTAGTAGTAGTAGTAGTAGTAGTAGTAGTAGCAGTAGTAGTAGTTGTAGTAGTAGAGTGTAGCAGTAGTCATAGTAGTAGTAGTAGTAGTAGTAGTGGTAGTAGTGGTGGTGGTGGTATAGTAGTAGTAGTCGTCGTAGTCGTTAGTCGTAGTCGTAGTCGTAGTTCGTAGTCGTAGTAGTAGTAGTAGTAGTAGTAGTAGTAGTAGTAGTCGTAGTAGAGTAGTAGGTAGAGGTAGTAGCGTTGGTGGTGGTGGTGCGTGGTGGTGGTGGTGTTTGGTGGTGGTGGTGGTGGTGGTGGTAGTAGTAGTAGTAGTCGTAGTAGTACTGAGTGAGGGGGAGGGCGGAGGAGGAGGTAAAAGAGGAGGAGAGGAGGAAGAGGAGGAGGAGGACGAGGAGGGACGAGGAGGGGTAGGCGAGGGGAAGGAGGAGGAGGAGGAGGAGGAGGAGGCGGAGGAGGAGGAAGGAGGAACGAGGAGGAGAGGGGAGAGGAGGAGGAGGAGAAAGAGTAGAGGAGTGTGTGGGGGAGGAGGAGGAGGAGGAAAGAGGTAGGACGGAGGAGGAGGAAGAGTAGGAGAGAGGAGGAGGAAGAAAGGGAGGAGGAGGAGGAGGAGGATGGAGGAGGAGGAGGAGGAGGAAAAGGAGGAGGAGGAGGAGGAGGAGGGTGCGGAGGCGGAGGAGGAGGAGCAGCAGGACGTCAGGATGCGTCAGGACGCAGCAAGCATCGCACTCGATGTCCGTTCCGTTCCGCCAGGCCGCGGCCTCCGCCGCCGCCGAGGCACCCGCTGCCGCGGCGGGGCACGGGGGGCGGCGGGGTGGCCTCCCCCGTCGTCGTCCGTCGCCCGTCGTCGTCTTCGTCTTCCTCGTCGTCGTCGTCGTCGTCGTCGTCGTCGTCGTCGTGTTGCTGTTGCCCCCCTCGTCCTCCGCAATCTCGGCGGCGAGCGAGGGGGTGAAGTGTCGGGGTGGAGATTTGAGATTCTCGGATCGTCGGTTCTCGGCGGTTTTCTTGCCTCGGGCTGCGTTCCAGCGGCTTGGCCTCGCCGAGGGCGTTTTCTGGGTGCGGGGACCGTCCCGAACTGCCGCCGGAGACCCGAGCGATGACCTAAAAACTAAATTCGGCGGCGAGCGGGGGGGGGAAATGAGAAGGAAAAGGCCTTCTCAGAAGGCGGCGGAACTCCTCAGAAGCCCCTTGCGCCTTCTGATAAGTTTTCTGTGTCTTCGGGGAAGACCTAAAACACTTCTCAGCCTGGGAGCCGTTCGGAAGCAAATCATGGGAGCCTGGTGTACCCTCTGAATTCCGTCTTTAGTGTCGACCAGCGCCGATTAGCGTTTGGGAGTTGATGAGACAGCGCCGATTTGTCGTCGGCTAGCGTCGATGGGCGTCGGTTTAGCGTCGACTAGCGTCGATCAGCGTCGATTCGCAGAAGCCGAAAATCGATCAGCGTCGATCATGGTATGAAAGGCTCCCATGAGTTGCCACCGAACGTCCTACCCAGTCGATCGCCGATGCCGTCGTCGGTACCGCGCTCGTCCTCTTCCTATGCCTCCTCATCCCTTGCCCTCCCTCCTTGACGGTCCAGTTTTCGTGGCATGTCTGCAGCTGGAGCCCGCGTCAAATTTCAGACTGGGTCGGATCCTTTTCATGATGGCCCCGTCAGGCCAGCCCGAATCCCTCGAACGCGAGTTTGACGTCTCCTCGAAAAGTACCACTGCTGCCCGAAATGGCACCCATACCGCCACCGTTTTCCTTCTTTCCGCCTTCCTGAGAGACCCTCGTCGCCACCGTTGGACTCGCGTCGAACTTCTGGTCAGAGCGCACCGGGGAGAAATCCGGAGTGGCGGTGGTCTTTTTGTTTCTCCGGGTTCCGTAACCCTGGCTCAGGCCGTCTGGGCTCGAGCACGCCCCTTGCAAGGTGCGGTGCTCCGGGCAAGGTGCGGTGCTCCAGCCCTGGCACGATGGAGACCGCGGCGGCGCGGCGACGGCGGCAGGCCCGTGCCGCTGCTGGTCGCCGCTTGGCTGCCGCCGCCGCCGGCGCCCATGTCGCCGCGGGCCCGCCGGGGCTCTCTGGCGCTGCTGGCGCGACAGGCGCCGCCGCTCTCGGCGGCGCGC